GGGGGGGGGGGGGGGGGGGGGGGGGGGGGGGGGGGGGGGGGGGGGGGGGGGGGAATGACACCACCTCTTAGTGCCCAAAAAAATACAAAACGCCGGGTGATAAAGACATGCTGGCAAACAGCAACTCACGTGGACGGCACCGCCAGCGGAGATACCCACAAGGAGCCCTTCCTTCTTCGCAAGCTCGCGGGCCATGGCCATCGACTCGTCCGACGTCACCTTAAGAACCTGCATGTTGTACGCAAGTAGAACATACTTTCGTTAACGCTCGACCGGTGGGGTGAGTGACTTTTCATTAAATATTTTCATCGGTTGTCTTCAAATGCATCATTCGCTACTTCATTGTGGGTGCGTCCAACGTCAAAATCCAGCTCCAGTGCTTGGGTTGTGGTGAAAGTGGGTGGGTCCATCTGGTTTGGTTCGTTTCGCCTAGATCAATGTCATAATCTGCTGTGCGGAACGTCTTGGTTCGTTTTGGATAGCGCCTGGTAAATGTCACCTGAAAAAAATCGCATTTTGCCTGCTGAAGCATCTGGTTTGGTTAAGTTTGTGGGATGTTGATCTGGTGCGTTGCAGGTGCTTCTGTGGATTCGACGATTGGGTCCTTTACCACTTGCTCTTTGGCAAACGATGTACTGCTGTACGTCTCATCATACGCCTCGTCGTCTGGTCCGGTCCATTCAACGAGAGAGCAACTCTCACCTTCTACTTCAACATATGGCATGAACTTATGGCGATGTCAAGACTTCAACACGTCGCTTCGATTCGGGCGCTAGTCTTTCGGTTACGATCGTACATACCAGGTACTTCATAGTATGAGGCTCCGGCATAGCACCGTATTCTCATCAGCATTATTGTTCGTTTTCGTGTTGGTTCTGACCTCGTCGATGAGGGACGTGTCGCAGTTGCCGGGGATAAAGCCGGCCCCGATCCCCTGGATCTTGTGCGGGCCGGGCTTGCCGCCGGAGAGGACCGCAGACTCGACGGGCTCCACCGCGCAAAGCTAGAAACACGAGAGACCAAAGCAAGAGCAAGTCCGACAACCGACCACGAAACGATGAGAGAGGGGATAGAGCAAAGAGTGAGACAGACAGGCAGATAGACGGACAAACAGAAAGTTGGGCCAAATCCAGACAGGCAAATGGGTAGACTCAGTCGAGCACGACAGACAGATAGACGGACAAACAGACAGGTGGGCCAAATCCAGACAGGCAAATGGGTACATTCAGTCGAGCATGAGAGGGGTTTCGTGCAGAGGCGAGAAGAGACATCTTCTCTTGAACGTGCACAAGGTTACGGTTCACACCCACCCAACAACGAGAACCAACCGCGCCTCCCCCACAGCAACGCCTCTACCAACCCAAACACGGAGGGCATCGTCAACAGCAACAACGCGCCTGCCGCTCTCCCACAACAAACAGCGTCCTGCCTCTCTTAAGCACTCGCCTTGACGGAAGGCTTCATGACCTTCAGATACTGGCCGGACCCGGTCAGGGTCCCGCCGGTGCCCACCCCGGCCACGAGGGCGTCGATCTTCCCGGCGGTCTGCGTCCACAGCTCGGGTCCGGTGGTCTCGCGGTGGATCTGGAGACCCCAGAAGACATGGCACCGAGGGTACAAAACAGAACAATACAAAAACAAAAAATCTATGCATGAGGCACGGGAGCGTCAAACTGACGAGAACCCGCCCGGAAAATTCCGGTGCAGAGGCGGTGGGAACCATTGACTCTCTCTTCCGCGCGTTGAGGCGCGGTATCGGAGGAATGTTCCGTCAGAGAGAGGGGGTGTAATCATATCATAGCCTTGCATGCCGTAGTGACCATTGACCTCGCATTCCTGTAAAGTCCGGACGGAGAACGCCGGGTTTTCCGCCTGTGCTGTAGCCTCGGTGCAATGTGAAGCGCAAGCGTGATTCTGCGTCATGCTGCCAGTGTGAAGCTCAAGCTAAGCTTTTTCTGTGTTTGTACCTTGGGGTTGTCAGGGTTGTTGAATTGCTGGAGCATGAAGGCGTTCTCCCCGAGGTCGGATACGATAGCCTCCGCCTTCGCCACCGCTCCTCCCATGCCCTTCGTCGCCGGCGTCAGCACCAGCCGAGCACCGAACGCCTGCGCGAAAACATTTCAGCAGTTTTGCATGCACACCGCGCTACGCGGCAAATCGGTTTCGAGGTCCTCGGGCAGCTGAACCGAATACTTAGGGTCAGCCGGTTGACACACCCGACGCCGAGAAACACACACAAAAAAACACGTTACCAGCCAGAGTGGAACTGACACTTTATCATTGGTCAGCCGGTTAGCGCAGTCAATGGCAATAAACACGGACACCAGCGTTTCGTTTCTAGCCGCTACCGAGACTGTTTGGAGTACCTTGTTATTGACCAGCCGGCTAGCGCGGTCGATGCTACCATAACAACAATCACACGCACCCAAACGCCGCCCGTCTAGGCCGCCATCGTTCATCCACGGCTAGCTAGCGTACCTTAAGCAACACCCTGCGCTCGAGGGACATGCTGTCCGGCATAGTGAGGACGATGTCGTAGCCCCTCGCCGCCGCAACCATGGCACACGCGATACCGGTGTTGCCGCTCGTCGGCTCCACGAGAGTCGTGACGCCGGGCTTGATCTGTCCGCGCTTCTCCGCTTCGTCGATCATGCTGATTGGTCCAAAATCAACACGTACCCCCAGGGAGTGGGGGGGGGGGGGGTACTCATAGTCGTGCATGCCGTAGTCGTTAGACCATTGACCTCGCATCCCTACTAAGCCGGGACGGAGCACGCCGGGTTCTCACCGGACCAGGCTCTCACATCACCAAGCGCGAAGCGCCGTGAGATATTCGGCGAGTCGCATGAAGGGTGCGCTGCATCCTGCTAAGGGTGTTCGGCATCTTGTGCTTACTTCCTTGCGTACGGATGACAGCTGCGTATGAATTAATTTATTTTCTGGTGCTTTCACTTCCTGAGACAGTTGTAATCACTGTGTAACTGCCTCGAGGGTGCCTGACCACTTCAACACAACGTGGTGCGATTATCCTCCTTGCGCGGAGTGAGGGTTCTCGACCCCGCACAACATGATCTACTCGACCACCATTATGGTTACCGCCAAAAAAAAAACGGAGGTAAAAAAAAAACGGTAACCTGGTTGCCGAGTTCACGAAGTGGCTTGGCTTGTTTTACAACGTCGTTGCCAAGCGACGAAACCCAATCCCGATGGCAAACACCGAGGGGGAAAGAGAAACAAAATAAAAAACCTGTGCCGGCCGTGCTCGTGGCTGGCCTTGGCTACAGCGGCCAAACACACCGCAAGGTGTAAAACAGACGTGAAACTGAGGTACCGATGGTGGCAAAAATGATGTATTGCTGGCGGCGACTACACGAGCGCCACCCTACTGTGCCCCACTAACCGATTCACGGCTTTCACTTTAGGCCACGTCTGTTAGTGCTGTCGTTGCGACAAAATTAATGACAACACGCACACGCACACGCACGAGGCCTGGGTGGTGTCGCATCACCCGGACAGAGCGAATGTGACGTCTCGGCAAACCATCGTTGCGAACCGCCCTACATAAAGCAAGCGAGGCCGATCCCATTCTCTGGGGGGGCTTACGACGCACACCGGGGACAAACACAGACGGCCGCTGCAGCTGCTGCAACAACCACTTCGCCCCTAAAACCCCAAAAAATTACTCGAGTAAAAAAAAACCATCCCATATTTGTTGGTCATCACAAAATGGTTAGAAAAATGTTGAAGGGGTGTTCTATATATTACTAAATTAACTCATTCTCATTTTTAAGGATGCCATGAAGTCCTTTTGCGAACACCTTCTGCAGATGCGTATGTAGCTGCATCACGTCACCGATTCCGACTACAAAAAAATAAAAAAGCGGCGCATTGAGCTTTGGCAAGAGTAGCAACCTCTGCAGGTGCGAGTCCCTCCTAGTTGCCGGCGGCATGTGCCCACCAAAATCAACCGCCACGTTTCCGGGGGAGCAGCACTATTCAGAGACTGAGACAAGTCGAACATCGTATTCCATCCGCGTCATGGGGTTTGGTCAGGTGCACGAAACCGGGCACTACACCGGGCAGTGGACCTGTTCAACCGGAACTTTTGACGGCCCACGCCACCACCGTACCGCACCTGAGTCCGATTCTGTCCTTGACGGAGTTGCAGGGCTCCATGGACTCAAGCTTGGCCAGGATGGTAGCCTCGCACCCTTCCGTAACTCGGTTTAGCCGGACAAGCGGCGTCTGTGGCAAGCAAAAGATATACGTAAGGTACGCGTGTGTTCAGAGGGAGAGACCACCAGTGCTGATCGATCAAGAGGGGAGCCTATCACCTCGCGTCAACAACCTCCGCCGGAAAAGCGGCACATTATATCATATGTGCATTGATACAAGGAAACACTCATTCAGGGGTTCAGGATTCGGGCTTCCCGCCAACACCTTAGGGTAGACCACCAGAGGCAATAAATAAAAAAAACGGTCGGGTCCGTCATTTAGTTACCCTGATCTGCGCCTCTTTCTCACACGGAATACGCGGTTGATGGTGCCTCAGACCCTCGGCGAAGAAAACTCCTGTGTCCCCCCTCCGTCCCCCCCGTCCCCCCGCCTGCCCGCAAAATGCTTGTACCTTGCCGATGAGCTGCGTGATGTCATCCGCGATCAGGGGCTGCTCCAAAACCTTCGCGTCGGGTCCTGCCGCAACCATCGACAGTCCCGTGGACTCCTCCGCCGCTGCCATTCGCCCAGCAGGAGATGAAGATCCCAAAAACGCAGACGGGGCGATGAACGCGCTCGCTGAGAGAAAGGAATTCGACAAATGCCGCAGGAAAAATAAAAAGAGAAAAAAGAAAGCACAAAGAAGGGAGAGGGGGGCGGGCATCAGGCGCGTGTGACAGCTTGGTGCTGTGGGGTGCTCATAACATGGCCGTTTTCGAAAAAAATAATAGGGTTGCGTCGCTGATAGGAAGTGAAAGGCCACAGGGAAGCGTGCGTGCTAGAGGGGAAGTGCGAGTTCCCCCTGGTTGATTTATTACTCCTTGACTTCCACCCGTGTTGCAGCCTGCTGTACTATTCTAAACGGCTCTGTAACACGCGTCGAATTGGGTCGAGGAATCTCTGATTGTAAGCAAACAAAATTATGTGGTTGATCGTTTAAAGAAAATTTTCAACGTGTTTGTTGTTGGTCTTGGGGGGCTGTTGGATCAAACTGGATCCTATAATACTGGTCTTCTTAAAAATTGCCGTTTGTACGGTCACGCGTGCGATGCTTCCGTGATACACAATATCTTCAACCACAACCTGTGTTACCTCGAAGTCAACATCATTATTTGTCACGTCCGATTCCTCGCTGTCAACCAAAGGTGATGCGCGACGCCTATGAGGGAACACCGCGCCGCAAAACACATCCTGCAAACTGCATTGCCCCCAGAAAAAACTATACACAGTGTGTGTGTGTGGGGGGGGGTCCCTTCAAGAGGCACGCTTCTCTTCCTTGTAACGGTCTGTCCTCTACAAACAAAACTACCCCTATTTTCCCATGTCCCTTGGTTGTTCCGTTCCTGTTTCTTGAAGTCTAGCAATATTCTACAAGATGTCAAGTGCTTACGGCAAGGACGAAGAAGATTGCGTGATGGCAATCATGTTGTCACCTCAACGGAAGCACGCATTTTTGCCGCCCAAGGACCGTGGTTTATGTCCAGCCAAATGAACTGCACGGAGCAGTCCGATCGCGGGGGGTTAACATGCACGAACACAAAAGACGGAAAGACGTGACCGAGCTAAGGGACGCAAAACAAACCTCGCATGGCCACCCACTTTGAATATAGAATGTTCTAACAGCTTGGGGCGACCGTACAGAAACGGTCATGAAGACGGTAACTACGACACCTCATAACACGAAAATTTGGCACGACAAGTGTCAAAGATGGATGTAGGGTACAACGTGTTTGCCCGACGAGCCGGAGATACAAACAGGTGGGAACGAAAAGCTATTAAGCCCACGACCGTTCCGACCAAAAGTGGGGGGCATATCGTATGCAAGTAAACTAACATGTGGTGGGAAGCACTGGCGAGCTTGATCTTCCTGCTTGGTGGTCGGAGAAGAAAAGAGAAGGGAACGAACGGTCCAGACCCAACAGAGGAAAGTGTCGACTTGCTGTGTGTGTGCGAGTAGGTGAGGATGTGGTGTGTGTATGACAGCCGAGGGCTATGGCCGTCGATACTGTACCACAAAAGTAAAAGGCGAAGAAATTGCACCGGGTTCGACCGTTTTTTCAATTTTTTTGCCTCGTACGGCACCACGACTCTCCCTCGGCGGTGAAATCTCTCCGACCCTCGTGCGGGAAAGCAAAATAGGAGTACAAGATTGCGTTTAGCTCAAGGCACCCCGGTGCCATCTCTCCGACCGACAGCATAGTATTGGTTCCAGTGTACCGGTCTCGACAAGCAGACGGTGTGCGGTGTACGCATGCCCACGCACACACGGTCTTCTGCACACGAATATCTGAGCCGCACAAGGGACGGCGAAATACATTGCAAATCGTATGTTACGTTTCCCGAAAGCGGTGGCGACATGTGTGTATGGCGCAAACACATCTACAATCTACACGATGCCACATGTGAGCGCATATACACACATGTCGTACCTAGTAATTCTTCTTCAAGTAGAAAATATGTTTGCGTACCCCGGTGTCATCTCCCCGATCGGTGCCATCTCTCCGACAAACACGGTAGCCCACCACACCCGCCCCCGGGCGTTGAAGAAAGTCAAACAGCAAAATGCCGTTCCAAAGGCCATATTCCTCGCAAAGCCGATTTCCAAAAGTCGTTCACTACACACAGGACACCTGCTGTAAAGTAATACTCGGGCCCTCCGTGTTCCGCCGAGAATTTGCAGAACAAAAAATAAACGGTTATCCAGCCAACGCCCACCAAGGCGACGCCCTGGTTAAGAGCTACATGTAAAAGCCAACTTCACCAACCGGCCGAAGATTGCGAAAAAGCCACACAGATGTTAAGCATACCTGCCCCCGGCCTTTCAAAGAAGCAAGATTCCAACTATCGCTCTACTCTGTGCTGTGGCATCTGTGGCATCAATATGTGGTAGGAGTAGCAGTCCATGCTAGTCCATCTGTATCTTGATCGTCAGCTCCTCCCAGTCGATTTTTCCGGAACGCCGGGTTTGATGTACTGTTTTGTCACTGTACAGCAAATCCACAACGGCAGTTACAAAATTCGTCAAAGCCAACAGCCCACTCACTCGTTCGTTAAAGCCGACCGGAAGTACCTGTGCCCCTACTGAAAAAGGGGCCATGTTCCATGTGTGATAATGTAACAATGTCGCCCAATTAGCTACCACGTGCTTCAAGGCAGCTTGCAAGCGTCAGCTTCAGCAGCGACCGCATACATTCAATCTTGAGCAGAGAGCAGAGTTCGGAACCAACCGTGTCCCACAGCCCATTTCTATTTAAGCTCTGAGACAATAAGAGGACATTTGGTTTCGGAGAACGGCTGGCGGATGTTCGATGTTCCCTTGACAGCTCGCGTCCCGTCGTCTCTAGCGTAGGGCGCACGCGCATCAGCGCGAGAGATTCCAGGGCAGGCTAGTCATTGGCGAAAACACTATCCAAAAACAGTTGAAGTGCGATATTTCTCGATTCTAGACGCCCGTGGCGCGAGAACCAATTTGCAATGCCACATAGAGAGGAGCGCGTCGCTGCGAGCTCGGAAAGGCAAGCCAGATCGAACCGTCAGGAGAACCTTGACGAGTGCGTGAGAGGTATCACCCCCCCTGAACCGATTCCACCGCCTCGACCTTTCCATGACGAACAGCAGAACGAATAAATCAAACGATACGTATTCCGAAAGCTCTCGACGCGACGGTTCCAACACTGCCATTTTGCCAAGTATTTTCAAACGTTTCAACATGCGCATATTTGTCGCTCTGTCAGAAACCATACACTGATCTGTGGCTGTTTTTTCCCTCCCGTGTGCAAAATAAATAACACGAAAACAACAACACGAACAACACGTAGACTATGAGGTACATACCCTTACAACATTTGGATGGCAGCTTGATGGGGTCTTGTGGACTTCATAGTACAGCAGCAGCAGTGTTTGTGTTGTGTGTTTTCGTCCTACCAGGTATTTATTAAGGCGAAACAGTCCCCCCATTTTTCGTGGTGAAACGTGTACTAAACTTTTCAGCATACGTAGAGTACTACTACACTTTTCAGCGTATTTTTTCGTACAACTAACCATCCAGGGTCACACAGGAGGGGGTATAACCACCAGGGCTTTTTTCTTCTTTTTACTTCTTTTCATGCCCCACCTTCCTCCTGCGGTGCATGCTCAATTTTATTTTTATCGCGAGCAGCAGCGTTTATAATAATATTATAGTTGGATTTTATCGACATATGCTCAATGAGACTGCTGTGCTTCAATATTACAAGAATCATTTTGGGCGCCACCAGACCTTGTTTATACCATGCGGACGTGCGGAGTTATCGAGCTTTGATAATCCGTCCATGGGGGTTGACATCTTACGTCACCAGCGGCTTGTTTGTTGTAATTGGCTACTTAAATCTCTTCTTCGCCATGGACTGACTGCTGTGTGCTATTCTTACAGCACAACGGCGGCCAGTTTGTTCAAGCCGCAACCCGCTCTGGATGGGGATGTTGTGGACTAGCGGAGCATGAAATACAGCGCTGCAACAGCAGTCACTCTGGAAAGCAAAGGTGGGCTCGCAACAGACTTCTGCTGGTCGCCCGATATGGCTAGTGCGGTAGTGGAGTACGCTACGAGGGCCATTATGCAGCAAGAACAACCGATGGGGCTGGGGTGGATGGACGGCACCGCGTGGCCGCCGCCGGATGATGAAACGATGAGACAAATTTCTCATGATACACACACGAGGACGTCCATCACGTTACAGAGGTGAACGGAGAGGGACCACGCGGCGGCTCGAGACGCCTTAAGAGAGCCTGTGTGGCTCAGAAGCACAAGCCGGTGGTCGCACATCTGACACGGTCGCTGAGCTTCGCCGCCGAAACAAAGCGCACAATGCGCAAAAAACACGCAAGGCACCAGACCGGCAGCTGCCGCTGCTGCTGCTCTTCAACTCAGTTCGTAGAGCGGCGAAAACACTTGGAGCACCGACCTGATTAGCTGATTGTTACCGCCAGCGCGACAATTGATTGCCTCAACGTACACCACCCAGCAGTCGCGCTGTTTTCGCGTGTGCAAAGCAGCGGGAGGATGACCACCCACAACGTGCCGAAAGCCGAGAGTTTCCATTACATGTGAGCTGTGCGACAAGCACATGTCATACAATTTCCTGGACGATTCTTGTTGGAGCGGGTGCGCGGCTTTCGTCTGCGAAAATCGACCGAACATGTAGAGGCAAAGGGCTCACCTCCCGTCAGCAGCATCCCCAGGAAAGCGAATCTCACAGTGTACGTGGCCATGGTTGCACAACTTTCGGCAGGTGGAGCAGAGATGAAGTTTGTGTGTGTCTCTGTGCAACTTGACTTTCCCGCCCGCAACCGCCACAAGCACGCTCTTTGAGGGGTGACACGCAGTGGAAAAAACACCCCCCACTTAACGACGATCTCGCGACGCCGTCTCCCCTCGCGCGCTGCTACGCCCAACCATCGCGCGCTGCCACGCCAAGGACAGGATCCAACTTGGGGGATAATCTCGTGCATTTTCCAGAGGTGAGAATTGAGCGACTACTACTGAGGACCGTGTTTGTAGGAGGGGTGGTTTAGGTGAGCTGGAGAGTACTGCGGAATAGTTGTCGACGATGTACAGCAGTAGTTTGGGATGAAATGAGGCCTCCTGCTACGAAAAGCCTTGAGACTCCACCCGGGGTGACTACCCCCGCGTTGACGTCCCTCGTGTCGTCAACGCGGCAGTCGCGCAGAGAGTAATTACCCCAGTAAATATAATCAAATACAGCATAGTTGGGCGGGTGGGACGGCTGTTGTTCTTACCGTATTTTTCCTCCGTGAGGGTGAGGAGGCTTGTCACGAGTGGGCCCTCTCTCAAAAGCCTTTGTTGCAGATCACCTGTTCTCATCCACGTATCCCCTTCGTGGTTCCATGATTTCGACATGATTTTACTGCGGAAAGTTGTCGACGATGTACAGTTTGGGATGAAATGAGGCCTCCTGCAACGGCATGGGACCCACCCATACTTCATGTTTTCACCTGTGTCATTATTCCCTGTCGTGTCCTTAATTTATCCCCATACTTCTCCATCGACGACCCTGCTACCGAAGTCATATTGCTTTCCATTATCCGTAAGCTGAAAAACGTTCAGTAAAGCCTTGCTGCAACGGGAGGTCGACGGTCCCCATGTACAACCGTTCCTGCTCCTGTTGGCTCTGGACTCGCCTTCGCTTAACGACGGCCTCTCCCCCTTGGGTCGTGGGCCCTACATATCGCTGTGCAACCCCTCGCGCCTTCCATCCCACAAAATCCATGAGAGCGTCTACCGCCGTCCCCGCTAGCGTTTGGCTTACCGCTCCTCCTACCTGAAACGAGTGCATGGTATACTGACCACTTGCATCGCCCAGGCGGCCGTTCCGAATATGAGCTTGTAGCGAGGCGGTCATACGCGCCGCTGACCACTGTGACGACCCCCGCGAGCCGTCGGTGTTGACCTCGGGGAATAGGTGACTGTAGGCAACAACACCCAAAAACATGTTTTTTTGGGCTCGTTGCTCCACGCCCAAGGCGACCTTTGCTCCTCTCGTGAAAGCGTCCCTACAGCCCTCTACCTTGGGTTTACAGCTATACCACACAACAAACCGCATCCGAATCGCATCAGCCAACCACGAGATCTACATGTCTGAAAACGGCCCCTCCAGTGGGGCTGCCTGGTCCGGTGAGAACCCGGCGTGCTCCGTCCCGGCTTTGTAGGGATGCGAGGTCAATGGTCTAACGACTACGGCATGCACGACTATGAGTACACCCCTCCAGTGGGGCTGCAGCGCCCACACCAACAGACCCTCCCAAAAAAAAATCGAGGTCCGCGCCGTTCGGCAGCAGGAGGCGCGCTGCGCGAAAGCTGAATCAATACAAAACGAAGTTTGAAGAGAGGACGGGGCAGTGTATGGTTGCCGCGTCAGCAGAAGATAACACGCGGCGCGCTTCGAACGCGGCAGCCTCACCATCGTAGAGAGAACGCTGGAGGAAACGAAGGAGGAGTTGGTCAATAGTAATAAATTGTGGAAGAGAGCCAGGCTCAACCTCGCAGCTGCCGCCGCCGCTGCTGCTGCTGCTGCTGGTTTTTTCAGCAGCAGCGGCGGCGGCGGCAGGGGTATGCGTGGCTTCACCGCCCGGCTGCTGCTCGGGTGTGTCATGAGACATGTGTTCTAGAGTGGGACCGCGCAATGGTGTTGTGCTGTGCCCCATAGCAGGGCGCAAAGCACACAGGCGAGCCTCGCCCTCGCGCATGTGCGTCAGAGGGTCTTTTCGGGAGGTTCCGACGGTTCCGTGCAATTTCATTGGTTGGTCGATTTTCCATCGTCAAGATCCGAGGACGCTTTTTCGAATTTTTTCCTATAGGAAATTTTCCGCTTTGACACTCCTAACTNGGAGGTTCCGACGGTTCCGTGCAATTTCATTGGTTGGTCGATTTTCCATCGTCAAGATCCGAGGACGCTTTTTCGAATTTTTTCCTATAGGAAATTTTCCGCTTTGACACTCCTAACTGTTATTCGTGCTGCACGCTTCCTCGTTAGGGTTGGGGAGGCTTGTCACGATTGGGCGCTCTCTCCAAGCCTTTGTTGCAGATCATCTGTTCTCATCCACGTAACCCTTTCGTGGTTCCATGGTTTCGACATTATTTTACTATCTGCAAGACAAGTGATCCACCTACCGCGCTGACTCTGTGAGTGTAACATTTAAATAGTCGTGAACTGCGTGATGTTTGCACCGCCAGGGGCGATATCTGTCCATGGTCCTTGACGTTAGCAGCTCTTGCAAAGGCAACAGTTTGGCATCTTCGGATAAGCGTTGCTGTTTGCGAGAGAGCGGAGAGGCAATTGGACGGCATGGAGCTGATTTGTTGGTGAAAGCCGCGCCGTCTGTCTTGTATGTATTGACCGAATGAGGCGGAGAGATGGAACCCATGCTACAGCAGACCCCAGACCTTACTTCAAAGCTCGATTGGTCCACAATCAATATTATGCCAACACCAACAATGGCGGTTTTGGAAACTCGTCGAGGTCATTCCGCAAATAGGTCGTGCTGTTTCCGCAAGCCCTTGGTTGCGGGGCAATCGACTTTCGAAAAGAGTTGGTCTACAGGGGGGGGTGTCATCTATCCGCCTCTTCCGGATAGTCTCCGCTTGGTTGTGTGTAGATCCTCACGATTGTATGCGCTTTCGGAGTCCCGCGAACAGTCTTCTCCGGTTTACCCCGTACCACAACACCACCACCCGACACGCGCTTTTTCCAGTTGGCTGTTCGACCATGAGCCGTTCCAGCACCGAACGTCCTGACGACGGCTGCATCGCTGAGACAGCCAAGACAGCAAAAAAGCCACGTGAAGGTGTACCGGCTTCGAGTCCAGGAGCTTCCCCTAGCAGCGACGGCAGCAGCAGCAGCAGCGGCAGCAGCAGCAGCAGCAGCAGCAGCAGCGACGGCAGCAGCAGCAATAGCAGCGATGACGACGAAGCCTCTCGCGGGGGTGACAGAAGAAGCAGAGGGCCATGCACCGAAGCTCGCAGCGGCAACAGAAGCACCGAGCACGGTTCCCGACACAAAGAACGCGGGCAAGACAAGCACGAGCCGCGAAGATCGAGGGCCAACTCCACCGACGAATGGCACTCTCGGACAGGAACCCGCCGCTCCAGATCCCCTGCTGGTGGCCGACGAAAGGGGCCAGGAGGAGACGGCCGTCGTTACCGCCGCCGCCAGACAGACCACGACGACACTAGCGAAGACGAAGATGAGCGAAGTGATCTCGGAAGAACACGCGGCGGGCGGGATCGAGGCACTGGCGCGGACAGGGACGGTCGCGAGTCCAACAAGCACAGCGGTAGCGGCGACGGAGGGAACGGCCGCCGGAGAGATGGTTCCAGGGATCGCCGCGAGAGTCAAAGGTCGGGCAACGGTCGGCGAGATGCTGGAGCCATGGACGAGGAAAACTACCGTGCCCGTGGTCACAGGGCCAGTGTCTCCTCTGACGGCGGGCGCGGCGATCGCAGAGAACGGTCCCGTGATCGGCCTCGAAGCGGTCACGGCGATGATGGCAGGCAAGGCCTGACGAATTCCGCCGCCGATAGGGGGTACAGCAACGGAACTGGCCGGGATGGTTCCAGGGAAAGGTCTGGGGGGTCCAGGCGCGACGGCGGTGGCCGAAGGGACTACGACGGCAGCAGGGACAGGCAATATGGTTACATTGGGGGGGGCGGCGGGAGACACGGCGTCTACCGGGATTCCAGCAGGGGTCGGTACGAACGTGATCGGGGTGGCGGCGCCGACGGTTCAAGAGGCCGTTACGGAGAGGGTGATGGAGGACGTAGGCCGTGGGCAGGCGGCGGCGGCGGTGGCTACAGCGACGACAGGGGTCGACGTCGCGAGGATGATGATTATAGCACAAGATGGTACGGGCGAAACGGGGATCGCACAGCGGGGAGGGGTGGAGGTGATTTCCGCGACGACCGAGCAATGGGGAGTTATCGTGCGCGTGGTGGTGGCCGTGACGCGGCAGTAGCCACATGCAGGCGAGAAGAGTCCGGCGGGGACAACAACGCTCGCCGTCGCCATGGAGCCGGCAGCGGCGTCGCACAAGGAGAAGGTGCCTCTAGTAGTCCGGTTGTGGGTTTCGTCGATGGGCAGTGGGTGTCGGGCGGGATTCTGGGCGATGATGCCGACAGCGACGCCAGCAAAGACGCCAACCCCGGGGGGAAGCAAGGCAACGCCGACGGCGGACAGCGCGAGAGCGGTCACGGCAGCAGTAGCGGCAGCCTCGGCAAGCCTGCCGCGGTGGAAACAGCAGCTACGGCTACGGCTACCATTCCCGGTACAAGCGGTGATGTGCCCAGGCGCCCGCGCTGGGACAAGGCGGCCCCTACCGCTACCGCGGGCCTGAGCGCCGCGATTGCGAAGGCTTCGGGGAGAGCGGTGTCGGGGAAAAAGAAGCTGGCGTGGGGCGCCGCTGGTGGCGGTGGGAGTGCCGCAAAGAGACCGCTGTGGGGGAGTACAACAGAGGCTGGAGTCGCGGCGCCGATGGGCGGTGGGAATGGATCCGGGATCAGCCCCGAACAGGCTCAGGTGGGATGTGGTACTGTTCGTGGACCGTGCTTCCCGTGGTACAACGATGGTTATGGCGGTAACGAAGAAGGGTACTTCGCAGCTGCTCCCAACCTGTCGTTTCCTTTGCGGTCGCTGTGGAGTGCTCGAGATGTTTGTCCGTTGCAGTTGAGGTTTCAAGAAAACGCATATGTAACCACGGAAGACGTCCTGGCCAGTAGGACGACTGGTGCGGATCTAGAAGGTACTTGAGCAGAGACTGGAACGATTTTTTTTTGTGTGAAGTCAGCGAAAATCACCATCACAGATAGACTACCAATTCGAGAGAACGTTGAGTCTCGTTGGAATTGTTGGAAAACACACAGCACCATAAAAGAGCACCCGCTCGAGATACAGTTGACCTACCTGTTTTGTTCTTTGTTGGTCGCTTGGAACACGTTGATTTGCTGTTCGTCCCCGAACAACCAGGGTGATATTCCTGGAGATCCCCACCCCTGCCGCTGTCCTCTTACAGAGGCTTGAATCCAACAGCAGTTGTCGTGCTCCTCGTGCTTCACCGAGTGGTCTAAAAAAACACAAGAGGCAAGGGTGGTGGGTAGCATTACAACAGCACAGCTACAGCGCATCAAATCAGAAGCGTACACCCTCGGGGTGTCTATCTTTCTCTCCTGGAATACCAACGTCCCGTTGCAGACGTCAGCACCCATCCGTCCATTCATGTACAAAACCTCTCACACCATTTACGTCAGAATCAACTCCTGACGAGTGATTTGCAGATCTCTTACCAGACAAATACAAAACATGCTCCTACCTTTTCCCTCCGAGCGCTTGCCTCCCGTTTTCTCATCTAACAAAAGTTCGCTCGCGTTGCCCCCCCCCCCCCC